GCCAGAAAGTATTTGAAAATGAAATCTATATTGTAAAGTTAGAACGTTAGCATCATGTACTAGCGCTAGAACAGACAAAGGAACAAAAGAGAAAACTCCAGAAGCAGAGAATTTAGTTTATACCAAAGTGACGTTTCAAGTCAGTCAGGAAAAGATGGGCAATTCAATAAACTGTTGGGACAGCAGTTGCCTTGGTGGTCCTTCCCATGGGCACAACACCTGCACGTGTCCACTAGCCTGATCATTCAGAAAATATTTTAGGTTATATTTTTTCTGTCTGACCTTGTACTGAAATAAATGCCTGATAAAGAAAGAACAAAGAACCAAGTCACTAAATACCAGAAGAAAATATTGGTAAATATATAATGTTGGGCTTGAGATAGACTATAAATACAATCTTAAAGGCAGAAACCATGATGAAAAGATGGATAGATTTGTTTCTATTAAAATTTTTTAGAGTTTGTGTATCTGCATACATGAATTAATGAAATTGAAAGACAAATGCCAACCAGGGGAAATGTTTATTACATAAATGACAGAAAATTCTTAAATATATAAAGTGCTTTCACAAGACAATAAAATGCAAAGGCATATTTGATAGAAAAATGGGTTAAGGGCATGGACAGGATATTTGCCAAAGAAGAAATCCGAACAGCATATAAGCATGGAAAAATGTTTACATCGTTGAGGAATCAAAGGAATACACATTAAAAGGACAGTGAGAAATCTTCCATCCTATCAAAGTTTAAAATATTTAAAGTCATTTTAATCTTGCATTTCAAGAAGGTTGCATATCAGAGTGTTGACAGTGATTAATTATCTGTGGGTAGTGGGTTAAGGGTATTTTTCTCTCTTTTGTTTTATTTTTCTTGGCATTAATAGTTTACTTTTGCAATAAAGGAATAATAGTTTGTGCTGACTCTTAGAAAAAAGTGCTCAACTGAAATCCCTGGAGAATTCATCTCTGGGGAACGAGCAAAGGATGTGTCAAAGTGATGGGCTTCCTCTCGGGCCTGGCTTGCCGTTGCTGACCCATATTGCATCATCTTGGCCCCCAGCTTCAGGACCTGGGGCCAGGTGGCTGCTTTTTAGACAAGAGGCATGAGACCAAGGCCGGGAGACCACTCAGCAAGCTGGAGCCTAACAATCCAGGTGGCAACTGATGAAAATAACACACTAGAACTTGGTGTGACTACTCTCTTCAAGCCAAAAAAAAAAAAGGAAAAAAATTAAAGGCATGCCTGTTCATGTTCTGTGGGAAGAAAGGCTGGGGTGCCAGAAGAAGTAAAGTCAGTCAAGCCTGTGGATGAAGAAAATGCTGAACTAGTTTTTGTTGAAGTAGAAGATTCTGCAGTTGTCTGTACTGGGGTCATTTCAGACTCAGAACTGATCTGTTCCAACATTTGGAACAATCAGGCCTGGCACATGTTCAAGAAAAATGAAAGTTCCCTTCAGTCAAGGTACCGCCCGTTCATTGCAGCCTACCAAATGTGTGACCCTTATCAAATCCCGTGGCCACCTTGCCTGGCTCTCAACCTGAATCGAGATCAGCAGAGAGTTGTGTTGTCTGTTCAGCTACTGTCTACACCTGGTTTTAAAACAAGCTGAACCTCACAATTCTTCAGAATTACCCTCCCTTTAACTTAGGATTCAGTTTCTGGTACTTCCTCTGGGAGGTGTAGACGAAAGTCTTTCGGTATCTAGGCAGCTTCTACCTCTGGAGAAAACTGAGTTACCTTGGGTGGGGTTCCCTGGAAACAGACTTTGAGATAAGTCTCTGTGCAGGGTTGTTGGGGTGTGGTGGAGGGGTCCTCAGGGACAACACCCATAAGTAAGGGACAGAGGACTGGGCAGAGGGAGAAGTGGTGCTTCTCAGCCAATCCTATGGAGAGCCCTAGAGCTGGGGTGGCCTTGCAGGGTTGTCCTCAATTTAGGCACAGGGACCAGGCCTTTGTATCTCCTAAATTAATCAGTCATTGGATGCATGCTGTTCCTGGGGAGAAGGCATATTCTTGGATGAGGCAGGTTATATCAATCTCAGCCAAGGGAAGTCTCCAGGAAGGAAGGCAGCTGAATTGACCTAGCAGACTGTTGAGGAAGAAAAGAAGGTCCCGAGAGAAGTGGGTTTGCTGGAAGGATTTCTTGTGGAGCCAGAAGACCAGACGGAGGGTTATGCTCCGCAGGAGGCCCAAGGGATAGACAATACACAATGGCAATGGGAAATGAGAGAAGTACCAGCATCACTTAAAAGTTCAGAGGGGGCTCTCTTCTGCAGACCAGGATGATGGGAAGAGAAGCAATCACAGGGCTGGGGTTGGTAATAATACCATTGGTAATGCCAGGATCCTGGAGCCACAGAAGCCAGGTGGTGACTTTAACCACCAGAAGCCTGGGGACTGTAATTACTCGAATAGTTGGCAAGAGAGGCCAAACAGGGAACCTGATCCTCAGGGGCTGTGAAGGTATTTAATAGTACAAGGTGTCCCTAGGGGAAAAGGAGATGGGCAGCCAGCAGGGTGCTGCTTAATATCTAGAACCAGAAGAAGGCAAGAATGGGGGAGCAGGAGTCTGAGGGTGGTTGCCCTAATAAAAAAGTCATGCTTCTTGCTCAGTTCTCAGATTCTGAGTCAATCTTCAGACCAAGACCACAGAACCCATCGACTGAAGAGGTGGGTGGGTCCTTAGGAAGGACCCTGCAACACTGAAACAAATATTTACCACAATGATTACTCTATGGCCTGTGACCCTTTTCACAGCTAACTCTATGTTGGGGAAAGAGAAACAGCCAGAAATTTTGCAGGGTCTGAAAGGATCTTGTTACCCAGAAACCCAAAGTGTTATCATGGTCCCGCTGTAAGAGTGGGGACTTAATGGTGGTAAGCAGATTCCTGGATAATATCCAGCTTACAATGAGTCCATGGGAGCATAGACCCATCCGTTGGTCTTTCCTCAGTCTCTGAGTGTATCACTGGGACTGTATATTGAGAACAAGCTCCACATTAGGTCTTTGGCCTTGAGTTCTCATGGTGGGGAAGATCAAGTAAAAGCCACTAAAACTGTCCCTTCCCTACCAAGATGAGATAATAAATCAAAACCAATATTTCACCCAAGGGGATAGGTGATGATGGTAGAGATTAATGCCACCATTAAAGACTTAAAGGATACAGAGTAGTTGTCCCTGTCATTTCTCCCTTTAATTTGCCAGTCTGGCTGCTTCAGAAACCAGGAGAACGGTTTATAGACTGTGGATTTAACCATGTAGTGGGCCTGGTGATAGTCATTGTACCATCTTGGTGAGCTCTCATAACACAGTCCAAAAGGATCTGGATCACCTGGACATCCCAGAGAACCCCACCCTATCTGTTATATTGATAGCAGCATGCTCATGAGGCATGCTGAGCAGGAGATAGCTAGTACATTGCAACACTTGGGAAGACACATGCAATTCAGATAAACCCATGAAGATTCAGGGACCAGCCACTTCAGTTTTTAGGGAACCAGTGGTCAGGGATCTGCCAGAATAGTTCCTTCAAAGTAAAAGGCAAATTAGAAAACACAAATAAGCAAGGCAAAAGAAAATATTGCTTATCATCTTGTAAAAGCTTATAATCCTCTAAAATTGTTTCTAGCATTTACATCTTTTAAGATGTTTTTCATCGTGCATAGAATATAAATCTAACAAACTAATATAGAATCATACCACTATCTTGATACCGTGTTTATTTACTTGTTTGCTTGCTTACTGCCTAGATTTCCTCACTGTGATACAAGCTCTGTGAAAGTCATGTCTTTATCTTATTGACTGCTGTATCCCTGGCGCCTAGATGCACTTGGTGCTGGATAAGTATTTTTTGGTGCCATAAACGATACGTACTAGATACATTGTTTTGTAGCTAGCTATTTTCAACTAACTTCCAGATGCTTCAGGTTGTACTTCATTTTTCTTAAAATGTGCCGTTCCAGAAGTCATGTGAAAGCAGAGAATTCTCTCACTGCAAAGTCTACTTCTATCAGTGCAACTTCAAAACCAAGAAACCTTAGTCCTTTGGCAGCCCTCGAGTCTCTTTGCCTTTGGCCAGCACTGCCTTAGAATCTTGAGCCGTCACAGCCTTGCCTGGATCATTCTTCAGAGGTCCCAAATCAGGTTCCAAGGACATAAGTGAAGACGTGCCAAGAGTCCAGCCCGCAGCCACGTCCCTCCTCCCGCCACGCGGGGGCGTGAGAGCGCCACCGTGCGGTCCCGGGCAGCGGCCCGCGGTGAGGACGATTCTGGGCGGGTGTGGCGACTGCCCGCTGTGGGCGGAGCAAAAGGCGCCCGGGCCCGGACACAGGGCAGGAAGTGAGGAGGCGGGGCTTATGTGGTGGGGTATGCGCTTGCGCAAAGGTCCGGTCGGAGGAGTCCTCTACGTTTTCGCCACTGCTAGGGTCTGTCCTTTGGGGGACGCCTTTGCCCTTCTTTTATGAGTTGGGCCGGGCCCAGGGGCGGGGGCAGAGTGCGGGAGTTGGGGAGAGAGGACTTCGAGGGGCGCCGGGATGAGGGGCGGGGCTCGCGAGCACTGCGAGGGAGGTTGGGGTGGCGGAGCCTGGGGGGCAGGGACGAAGGGGCGTCCGGGCGGGAGTGGGGAGGGCTGGCGTCTGGCGTCGGGGCATAGGGGCGAGTGGAAAAGGGGTACGGGAGAGTCGAGCCTCAGCCCTCCCTGCCCTCCCGGCGTGAATTGCAGGGAACCCAGGGGCCCCTGCCCCCCCCCCCCCCCCCCCCGGGGAGGTGCTCGTTGCAGGTGGTTGTGGTTTCCGGGTTCCCGGGTTCCCTGCCTCTCCGCTCAGCCTTTTCTTCTCTTTAGCGGCTTTTTTTTTTTTTTAAAGTAGTATCATTAACGCAGGATGGTGTGCCTCACATCGACACCTTCACCTGTGGAAAACCGCCTCTTGCCGCCTAAAGCAACTCGAGAGGCAGTCCCTCTCTTACCTCCTCACTCTCAAGGTAGAGAACATAAAAGTTTCCTACCTAAACCCTGCCATGAAGAACTGAACATTTCCTGCCTAAACAGTGCTCGGGAGTTGTGATAATTTCTTTATAAACTTGTCTACAAATACCACTTTTTAATACTCTTCAAATAATGTCACTTGCCTGTGTAAAGCGGAGCAACAGTTCTATTGTGCCGTGCAGTCCTCCACGAGAAATTTTAGTCCGGGGCGAAGAAAATAGCTCATTTGGAATTCAGGGATTGATCAACTATCGTGACTCCACAATCAGTGCTGTGTAACCCTCGCGAAAATGATGTAGCTTTATATCCATCATCTCAGCCCTGGCGAAGGGGTGCAGGCTGACATTTGGAAGCTTAAGGACCAAGTCTGTTGCCTTCCAATTTATTTATTTTATTTTATTTTTTTTAAAGTCTTCCATCATGGGTGTACTTTGCTTGAATGATTATTTTAAAGTACACGTTCTATTTTTGCCAGTCTGACAGCTGTTTCCATAGAAACTAGAGAAGAAATAGTCATTTTCAGCAGAGTTGTTAAAACGGTCTTCCAGGCTTCAGCTGTTGAGTGCCAGTGAGTGCTGTATTTGCTCATTCTGAGATGGTACTTAAAGAATTAAGGCTCTGAAATGTTCTTAGAGGCTAACAATCCAAACTGTTTAATTTTCTCACATCATTAATTTAGTAATCTTAGAAGTTTGCCAGCTATGTTTGTTGACCTGCTACAGTTCTTCGAAGAGGATGTGTCAGTCCTGATTCTGACTTTGTTGTCCAGTTTCAGCAAGAATCCTGCTAAATCAGTTTACCCAAAATCCCCCATCCTGTAAGAAGTTACAGGTATGTAACTTCTTAGGCTCTGTGTAGTCTAGTGTTGCTCTTTGGAAATGTATAAATAGATTTCTTCACCAGTTCTTTACCTTTTCTTAAGGATAAACCAGGGATTGTAAAATTTCAGGCACTATTTCTGTTCTAAATGACACTTGATTGTCAGCAGTACAAATGGTAACGTTTTTAGTTATGTTCATGTAATGTTTGGGGCTTTTGCTTATACCTCTGTCAGAATATTTTTTAAAGATTTCACGTAAGTCATGAGAAATGAGCAAGAGTTTGCTTGCCGTAATCACAGAGCTAAGCAGTGTAATAGATGTGCGTAGAAATAGAGGTGAGAGCTTTTCTGAAGGTTAGCAGTAAATCAGTGGGTCTGGAACTTGGGAATGGGTGAAGGAGAGCTGGGGGAAGGTGCCTGGAGAAATAGTGGGAGGTGGCATTGTGAGAGGCCTGGTCTTCTCTATGGAGGAGTTTATGGAAGCCCATGGAAACCATTGGAAATTACAAAAATAGTTGCCTTTATAGACTTTGGGGCTTACAAGAGTAATAATACATCCTGTAAAAATTTAAACAGCATAGAAATACATGAGATGAAAATACTAAATCCTTTACATCCACCATTCTGCCACTCAAAATAATGATAATGAATAGTTTGCTACGTTTTGGTTTAGATTTATTTATATTTATATGTACTAGCATATTTCAGCATTACTATTTTTGCAAATTGGGCAGAGATTTTTGTCTGCTTTATTTTCTGTGGTATCTCCAGAGTCCAGAGTGGTATGTGGTATGGCATGTAGGAGGCACTCATTAAATATTTAATGAATGAATAACATCATTCAGAGGTAAAAAACTGATTGGGGTCTTGTGTAGGTTTGTTTGGCCAAGGTGGTTAAGTTTTTTTTAAGTTTGTTACCAGCATTTTAAAACTGATAACTTTCACATAAAGTTTGAATTTCTGTCTTGAAAATATTGAACTGTGGTAACACTAAGCTCAAGTTCCATTACACTTGTTGCGCCTTCTTTAGATGGGCATGAATCTGCATTTACACCAGTATGGCTTTGCCTGGACCCTACAAACTTGCACTAGTAGCCACTAGTCATCTATGGCCATTTTGTTTCAAATTAACTAAAATTAAGTTCATTAAGAATTCTTTTTCTCAGTCACACCAGCCACATTTCAAGTGCTCAGCAGCCATAGGTAGGAGCTAGCATATTGGACAACGCAGACACATTTCCATCATTGCAGAAATTTCTGTCCTGCAGCGCTGGTTTACACATCTGAGTTTGCCATTCCTGATCTACCAAATTTTTGCAAGTAGCATTTGTTGTTATTTTTAAGATTCGTGTGTCTCTTTGTCATTACACAAATCTCCATTTTTTAAAATGGCTGCATAGTATTTAGCAATGTAGGACTTTATGGGAGTTTGGGAGTAGGATTCTGTTGTCTGATTTGCATTTTAGGAAGATTGCTCTAGTTCTAGTTTGATGGGGGTGGGAATGAACTGGAGGGGTAGGAGTTGGTGGTTTAATATGGAGAGATTGGAGGGCATATAGTAATCAACAACCTTAAGGCCACAGAGCCCGGGAAAGGCTAGATTGAGATATTAAGGAGGCAAAATTGACATGTAAAGTCACTGCAGAGATTATCCAGAACTGATTAACTGGAACTGATGCAGTGTTGAAAATTGGGAATTTGGCTTTGCAAAGTCTAGAAGGAGCCCTTAGCTAATTCTAATAAGCAACACGTGTAATATTAAAATGTTACCAGCTTGTATATGAAAGGTATAACTGTTTTATACTGTGTAACTTCTTAAGTCAGAGATCATTTATTTACAAGATACAGAACCCCTTTGAAGAGAGGGAATTGTTTTAGGAAGAAAGTAAAAGCTTATGAAGCTCAGTCACATTTAGGAAGTACAGTGTGGACTCTTGGGAACCAGGAGGGTATGAATCTTGCCCCCTCTCTCTTTTTCTCTCCCTGAGGCTTCATGATCTTTTACTTTCCACACATTGATTCCATTGTCCTTTCTGTTGATCCACTTCTTTTGCAAAGGTTTTTGTTTGCAGTTCTTGCTTGCATATTGCTTTGTGTTGCCATAGCACCAACTATAACTCCAGTTTATACTGCCCTTATTCTTTTGCCTGACACTGCCTCACCAAAAGTCTTTTCTGTATCAGATATCCACTCCTAGCTCTGTGGCCAGTGACAGAGGTCACTGGGAAAGATTGACAGTCTGTGCCTGTCCCTTAAGTTGAGGCTGTAGGATGCCCTTATAAAGGGAGTGTGATCGGGTTGAGTGTCTGAAGCTTATCTCCTATGGTAAAGGATCTAAGAATGTGGGTTTGTGTTGTTTTTGCAGTTTGACTTCTAGCAAATGACCTATTTTTAAACCTTAAGTATACTTTCCCGTTCGAAACAATTTTTTTCTGCATCTGCCCCAATGGCATAAAAAATAATAGTTGCCTTGAACTCTTCTGCTACTCATGGATATCCTTTCTTTTTTAAGAATTCATATAGTGCGTAACACTTAATGAGGAACTGTATTCTATTATCCCTTAATAGTCTTACTTAGATACATTTTCCCCCTTAACTCGGTAATATCCATGAGGGCAGGGACTGGATTTTATGCTGCATCTGTAACTCTCAAGCCACCTAGCCAATGAAGAACCTTAGTAGCTACTCAGATACTAATTTGAAATGATTTCTAGGCTTCAGTTATTTTACTACTTTCAGCTTGGTTCAAAAAAAACCCCAAAAACCTAGAAAGTATCTTGTTAATTACATCAGATTATTATGTATCAAGTCTGGACTCTGATTTAAAATGGATAGTAATTCTGAAAGGTTAACTTGGAGTTAATGTTTACTTAGCATGCCCTTTATTTATAACATTATATATAATGTTAACATATATTAATATTATATGTTAATAATGCAAGGGTGGAATATATAAGTATATAAAAATTTTGAGTGACTTTCAAATAGTTTGATAAATAGGTAATACAGTTCATTAAAGCTGATGTTCTTTTATTTTTTTAATTTTTTAAAAAACTGATGTTCTGAAGCATCTTTCTAGATAGTATTGTATTAGTCTAGTTTGAGTTAGATTTACATACTTTCCTCCAACTTTTATTAAGATTTTGAAGCAGAAAAATTGAAAAAATTTTTAATGAACACATATATAACTATGATTTAGATATGATTGTTAATATTTTACTGCATTGGCTTTATGTCTTGTGTGTGTATTATGTAATTTGAAAGTGAGTTTTATTCATCATAAGGAGATACTTAAGCAAGTACTCAGGTATAAGATATTCCCCTACATAACCACATCATTATCATTTAATAAGCAGTACTTACCTAAAATAACCTGAAAGCAAATCCATATGCAAATTCCCCCAAGAGTCCCAGTTGTCTTCTGAAGCTGGTTTTTTTTTTTTTTTTCAAACTAAGATCTAATCAGAGTTCACACATTGCATTTTATTGTTGTCTCTCTTTATTATTTTTTGAAAAATAGCTTAATTAATGTATAATTGCTATAAAATAAATTGTACCTATTTAAGCTAAGTTTTGACGTGTGTACACCTATGAAACTAACACCACAATCAAAATAGTGAACATATTCATTATCTCCAAAACTTTATAATCCCTTTCCTGATCTTTACCTTCCCATCCTCAGGCAACCATTGATCTCTCTGTAACTATAAATTATTTTGCATTTTCTACAGTTTATATTATAGAGCTGGAATCATAGAGTATGAACTTTTTTGGAGGGAGTAGGGTCTGGTTTCTATCACTTGATAGTATATAGAGATAAAATTGCTTTTGTATATTGCTTTTGTATCCTGCCACCTAACTAAACTCATTGTGATATATTTGGGTTTTTAAAATAGATGATCATGTTATGTACGCATGAAGACCATTTAGCTTCTATGTTTCTTGTCTGGATGCCATTTATTTAGTTAGGCATTTATTCATTCTATTGTGTTGACTAGGATCTCCAGTACAGTATTGAATTTAAGTGGTGAGAGCGAGCATCCTTGCCTCAGTCCTGATCTTAGGAGGAAAGTATGGTCTTTCACCAATAAATATGATGTTGGTTATAGTTTTCTATAGATGTCCTAGCTTACTGAGAGTTTTTTATCAGGGTTGGATGTGGGATTTTATCAAATGCTTTTTCTGTATCAGGATGATCATGTGGTGTTTCTTTTTCAGTAAATAGGGTGGATTACATTAATTATGAATTTTTACTCAACCTTACATTCCTGGGACACATCTCAGCTGGTCATGATGTAGTCTTTTTATATATTGTTGAATTCGATTTTCTAAAATATTGTTTTGTATCTATGTTTATGAGAGATATTACTCTGTAGTCTTGTAATTTTTTTTTTCTGGCTTTAGTATCAGTAATGCAGATCTTATGGAATAAAATGCAAACTATTAATTTCTTTTCAATTTTCTGGAGAGTTTGAATAGAATTATTATTAATTCTTCCTTAAATGTTTGATAGAATTGCCCAGTGAAGCTATTTGAGCTGGGAGCTTTCTTTGCGGGAAGGTTTTTAACTACAAGTTCAATTAAAAGAACAGATATAGGGCTCTTCAGATATATCCATTTCTTTCTGAGTTAGCTTTGGTAGTTCGTGTTTTTCAAGGAATTGGTCCATTTCATCAAAGATATCAAATTTAAGATTTTCTCTTCCACTAGTTTTAAGAAATTTGATTAGGATATGTCTTGAAATAAGTTTCCTTTGTGTTTACTGTGTGTGTGGTTTTTTAAATTTGTTGGATTTGTGGGATTACAGTTTTCATGAAATTTGGAAAATGGCCATTATTTTTTCAAGGTTTTTTTTTTTTTTTTTTTTTTTGGTCTGCCATCCCTCCCCTCTTTTCGGGGACTCCAGTTGTACATATTTTAGGCCATTTGAGTTATCCTACACCTCTCTGATGCCTTTTTTTTTTCCCTTGGTTTTTTATTTTGGTTTTCTTGGTTTCTATTGATATGTCAGGTTTATAGGTCTTTTTTTTTTTTTTTTTAAGATTTTATTTATTTATTTGAGAGAGAGAGAATGAGAGAGAGCACATGAGAGGGGGGAGGGTCAGAGGGAGAAGCAGACTCCCTGCTGAGCAGGGAGCCTGATGCGGGACTCGATCCAGGGACTCCAGGATCATGACCTGAGCCGAAGGCAGTCACTTAACCAGCTGAGCCACCCAGGCGCCCGGGTTTATAGGTCTTTATTTCACTGTTACAATATCTAATCTGCCGTTATCCAGTGTGATTTTCATCGAAGACTTTGTACTTTTCTTGTTTAGATGTTCAGTATAGGTCTTTTTTAAAAAAACATATTCCATGTCTCTACATAACATTCGCAGATTTTCCTTTAAGTTCTTAAACACTTGGTATATAGTTGTAATAACTATTTAATATCCTTATCTGTCAATGCTGTCATTCATGTTATTTAGAAGTGAGTTTTTATTAATATTTTTCCTGATTATGGTTCACATATCCTGCTTCTTTGCTGCCTGGTAATTTTTAATTATAAATTATACCTTATTAAATGGTGTATATTTTTATATTCTTATAACTGTTTTTGAGCTTTTTTCTAGAATGTGGTTAAATTCCTTAGAAACAGTTTGATCTTTTTTGGGGGGGGGGGGGTCTTGCTTTTAATCTTTGCTGGGTAGGGCCAAAGTAGCTTTTAGTCTAGGACTAATTTTTCTCTAATGAGGCAAAACCCTTCTGAGTAGTCTACCCAATGTCCCATGAATTCAAAGGTTTTCCACTTTGAAGGGTAGGAATAGATACTCTACTCTGCCCTCCATGAGCCCTGAATATTGCTCCTTAATACTGTCAGGTGATTCTTTCCCATCTCTAGGGACTTCCCTCATGGGAGTGCCCAGTTTAGAACTCATCTGAGTACACCAGACAGAGTTCCGTATGTAACACCTTCTGGAATTCTTTCTCTGTACAGTTCTGTCTTCTCTTGTACTCTGCTCTGTGGGGTCTAATTACTGTGGCCTGCTTGAGCTCCCAGCTTCATCTCTTCAATTTAGGAACATTGCTGGGCTGTGCTAGGTTTCCCCTCTCTACATAGTGGCCTAGAAACTGTTCAGGCAGGAAGCTGGGGCAATTGTAGGGCTCATCACATTTGTTTCCCATCTCTCATGGGTCACTGGTCTTCATTGCCTAACGTCCAGTGTGTTGAGACCATTGTTTCATTTATTCTGTTGTTTTTTTTTTTTTTTCAGTTGTTTTCAGTGGGAGGATAAGTCTGGTTCCTCTTATTCCATCTTGACCCAAATCAGTAGTACGAGGATTATATTTGAAAGGATCAGATTTGTATTTTAAAAAAGAGATTTTGAAACTTAGATTTTACTATTCCATTACATGCTTTTCCCCTTACTTACTGCCAGTTGCTAAAACCTACTGTTATTTTTGCTTAATCCATTTCTTATTCCCCAGTAATGTAGCTGTTAAAATAAAAAGATTTCCCCCAACTAAAACTAAAAAGTGAAAAGAAGAAAAAATCCAAGTTTCTAAAGTATGTGTTGTAGAGTAAAGAAAAAAAAAAAAAAAAAGTGAGTAAAAGCTGTTTGGTTTGTATTGCTGGGGGGCATTGCTGTGGGGGTGGTGGTAGAAACCTAAGGTAATTCAGTCTGAGATATGTCAAGGGAAGAACGATTGACACACCTTTTTCTTAAGTGTTATGTTCCCAATTTTGTAAATAAGTATTTTCCAGGGATATTTATGACTTATTTTTTTGTGTGTTCCAGATAATCAAGGAGAAGAAAGATGAATTTCATCTATGGACTGCAGTCTCCTACTAGAAACTGTGTTTTCTTCCGATTTCATATGTTGGCCAACTGGAGAAAGTGTAACACACTAGCTGTAACCTCACCAGACTGTCTTCAAGGACAAATTAATCATATAGTTAACAAGTATCAGGGTCTGGGAGTAAATCAGTGTGATAGGTTGACTTTTCTTGCTCAACATTTTTATTTCTATAAGACTTTTAGTAACAAAAGACCAGGATGCCTCTTGAGCACGAGATGTAAGGAAATTGGGATGGTTACCCCAAAATGTACTGTGTGGAATGACTCTTTTTCAAGACAGCTACTGATAAAAGAAGTTACAGGAGTTCCTGCCCTTTCACTATTGCATCCTCTAAACTGTCTTCATGAAAGAGATATCAGGAGTTTCCACACTTCTCCTCGGTTTCAAGCTGCTCCGGTTCCTCTCTTGTTGATAATTCTTAAACCAGTGCAGAAACTATTTGCAATCATTGTAGGCAGGTAAAAAGCTTTTAAAAAAAATAAACTTTTATATTAAAAGGTATTTATAAAATTATACTTTTAATGAAAACTTGTTAGATTTCCCACCCATATTTAGCTCAAAATCAAGTTTCTAAACAGTTGGGTCTACCCGTTTTTTTTTTTTTTTTTTTTTTTTTCTTTTTTTGATTTTAGGTCTACCCGGTTTTGTTAATGGTTTAGTAATCTTGAAATGATTTACTGCATATTATTTTTTTAAGATTTTATTTATTTATTTACTTATTGAGAGAGAGAGACACACACACACACACACACACACAGCCAGCGCAGGGGGAGGGGCAGAGGGAAAGGGAGAGAATCCTAAGTACACTCCATACTGAGCATGGAGCCTGAGATCTGTGAGCCTCACAATCCTGAGATCATGACCTGAGCCGAAATCAAGACTTGAATCATTAACCGACTGAGCCACCCAGGTGCCCCAATTTACTGCATATTATAGTATAAAAATATGATCTTTAAAAAATTATATAGATACTTTTTAAAGTATCTTTAAATGATTGCAAGAATGTTTATGATTGCAAGAATGAGAAATGTTGGTCATAGCTTGTGTGTAAGAGCAGTACTTACAAATGTGTTTAGTTATGGAATCTGAGGCAATGGGTCATGAAACTGAAGAGCTTCACTTATTTAAGAATGGGCTCATTCCTAGCCAAGTTAATGCTTAACTGGTATTTATTAATTATTCTATTTACAACACATCTTTGTTATTTTCTCTTGGGTAGTCCATCATAATAATTATGTTTTTACAGCTAAATAGTACCTTATATTTAATTTAAACCTTTCCCCATAAATAATCTTGTTTTCTCTTATTTGCTCCATTTATTGAAGAAAGGTAAAGTTAGGCATTGTCTCCTCATAAAGCTTTCTTACCTTTGATGACTGTGAAGGCCCTTTTAGCCCTCCGACTCCCATACTAACCAAACCAATTTTCTTCCTATCAGAAGTTGAGAACTTGTACTCTCTAATGTATTGTGTTCCTTATGATTTGACATTGGCACCCAGAAAAAAATACGGCTGTGTTAACTCTTGATGTAAGTAACGGCTGTCAGAGAAAACCAGAGCTAGACAATAGTTAAAGCAGTAAATACAGATTGTATGCAGGACTTTTGCAGTAGGGGAAGAGAGACCTAAGTATAGAACCAGAGTTAATTTTGAATACAGCATGGGCAAGCGGGAATTTATAGCCAAGGAGCAGGGTGAGGTTTGGTGGATGGAAAATTACTAAGAGGAAACATTAGGAGTAAGGGGGGGATTCTCCCTAACCTGACCCTACTAGGCTTCTTGCTGAAGGCAGGTAAGGGTGGTCAGATATCATTTGGGGGCTGGTGAATGATGAGGAACCTGATCAGATACTGAGGGTGATCAGATATGGAGGATGGGGGATTTTGGGTAAACTGATTTAGCAGGATTCTTGCTGAAACTGGACAACAAAGAGAGAAATACAGAAGTCTAAAGGTGAGGCCTAGTTGAAAAAAGCCTGAGTAGAGTCTGGTGGAAGAGAGAGAATCTTTGTCACAGCTCAGCCCAGGTTCTTAGGCCAATGGCTTTTTCATCCTTTTTAATCATCATTATTATTATTTTTTAAAGATTTATTTATTTTGACAGAGAGAGACACAGCGAGAGAGGGAACACAAGCAGGGGGAGTGGGAGAGGGAGAAGCAGGCTTCCCTCTGAGCAGGGAGCCCTATGCGGGGCTCGATTCCAGGACCCTGAGATCATGACCTGAGCCGAAGGCAGACGCTTAACGACTGAGCCACCCAGGCGCCCCTTTAATCATTATTTTTAACTTTTTGTTTTTATTACTATTTTAACAACTTAACATTTTCTTTCATGGTTTCATCATACTTTTAAGCAAAGAATAATAAGTCATATAAAGTTTTAAATAGGAAATAAGTCTGGCCTAAGTTTCTTCAGGTTGAAACACTTTGAGGCATTTTAGGTGTGTCACTTAATAAAATTAAGATAACTTGAAGTTGTTTTATAAGATGAATTGTATCAAGAGAATGATGTATGTATCTTAAATTTTTGTTGTGATTTCACAGATGAACTTACAAGGAAAAATTTTGTCCCAGTGTTGAAAACATTGCTTCTCAAAAATGTCTGTGAACCCCAATAACCAGCAAAGAGTATTGTTGCCTGGTAGAAAGTAGACCTCCTCGTGTGTTAACCATACAGTCTCTCATTTCCTTATTTACGGTGTTTATGTTCTTATTACCTCTCCTTTGTCATGTTCTTGAGGGGATAGTGGACTTTTTGCTGGTGAGCAATATTTACTTCTAAAATCAACGCTGAGGTAGTTACCTTTGTACCTTGCTAAAGTCCTGGCAGATTGTGCCAGAAGACTGATGAGTGGTGGGGAGGATCGTGGTTAAAGGTATAGATTATTGTACTGTAATCCCCTCAGATGTTTATTGGGCCAGTTTGTCCCTACTAAGTGGTTAAGTGCTCAGACTCTGGGATCACACTTTCTTCCTTGCCTGGTTTTCCCTTATCACTTCTGCAACCTTGGGCAAGTTGCTTCACTTCTCTTTGTCTCAGTTTTCTCTTCTGTAATGGGGTTATTGTGAAGGTTAAATGAGATGACATGTATAACAATTAGAATAGTAGTTTGCATGTGGTAAGTAGTCAATAAATGTTAATTAATGGAAGTTGTGTAAAATAGCTACTCATTTAGTGTTCACCTTTAAAATAACCGAAGAAGAAAATTTAAATGAACATTAGAATTTTTAACTATAGTTCTGTATAACGGATTCCTTTTTCTTTTAGCTAAGAATTTTATAAATTGAAAAAATTCATCTATACAGAGAAATATATCACAAAAATTCAAGTGTTTGATGACATAAAATCCTAGCATGAGATTAAGTTTTGGTGATATGTGCTGATACTATTGTCAGAACTTTGAATTCTCTTTTTGCTCTAGGGGCATAAGGAAATGGTGGCAGGCACTTCCTCCTAACAAGAAGGAACTATTTAAAGAAAGTTTAAGAAAGAATAAATGGAAGTTACTCCTTTGTTTCAGTAGTTTTGGATTGCTCTTTGTAGTGTTTTATTTTACTCACCTGGAAGTGAGTCCTGTCACAGGAAGGAGCAGGCTACTATTATTGGGGAAAGAACATTTCAGACTTTTATCAGAACTGGAATATGAAGCAGTAAGTAGTAAGAATTGTTTATAATTAGATTGCTTAATATAATACTCAAAGCAGGAGAGTTTTTTAAGTATGAAAGATGCACTACTTTTTTATGTTAGTCTTTGATAGAAAATTAACATTTTCTCAAAAGGCCTCAAACTTTTCATACTTAGTATTCCTCCTGCCTACGTTGTTTTTCTTCTCATTCACCCAGCTAACTCCTGCTCATCACATGTCACCTTAAATGTCACTTTCTCAGGAAAGCCTTCCTTGATTATCCAGGCTGGGTTAGGTAGGTTGGCTACATTAGGCTCTAGGGGGTATCCTTCATACAGGCTAAATTATGAATGAGCTCATTTGTATTTGTGTCCAGTGCTTGGCTCTATTGGGGTCAGATCGCCTACTTTTATTTTCTCTTTGCATACTGTATTCTTCCTTTAAATCACTTATCATGAGGGTAACATAATTATTTGCATAATTATTTATTTGCTGATCTGTCTCCTTTGTTAGCCTAAGCTCTATGGGAACACAGACCCTGTTTTATCATTTTATCTTAAGTACTAGCACAGTGTACAAATTAGTGCTTAGTAATATATTTTTTTGGATAAGTAGGTATGTAATAGAATTTTGTACCTTGGAAGTAATGTAGAATAGGTTTTTTTTTCCTAAAACATCATTTTTGGCAATTTATTATATTTTTTGAATGCAAAATAAAGTTGGAGTTCAGAAGCCTTAACTCCTTAGCAAGTACAAAGTAAGTTAAGCATTTTATCCCACTAGCGAGTTTTTTGAGGACAGATTCTCTTTTTCCAGTTCTTAGCACACATATAGTATATGCTGTTAGTATTTGTTGAATTAAAGTCTCATAGTCTCACTTGACAGTTTTGGCATGGCTAAATCTTTACATCTTTTTATTTCAGTTAAGCTTCTGAGTTTGTCGGTGGCAAGTTACCATTAAAAAAGAAATAATGTTTTTTCACTAAAAATGTTGTTCCTAGTAAAGATAAGATGCATGTCTTCTAGTAGAATTTATACAGAGATTAGAGGTGTTTTTTAGGATAGTCTTGTCTGAAGCAAGTTTGAGGAAAATGTTCTGGAAAGATTGAGGCAGGCCTAGGGTTAAATTAGTATTGCTTCTACCATTCATATCACTTAGAAGCTTTAAAAAATTATATCTTCATATACTTTTTATTTTTTAACGTACAAATGTAATAACCTGCTTGATACAAAAATTCAAGGATATGTTCTTATAGAGATATTATAAAGTGCTATTATTATATATAATTTTGCTTGTTTCATCTACTTCAGAAGGGTTAATATAATAATGTTTTTTGTTTCAGTTTACATTGGTGACTTGTGTTTTTTAAAAAATGCTATTGATATTAAAGACTATTTCAGATTCGAATTCTATAAAAACATCTCAGGGAAGGTTATAAACTTCTTGATCCATATGTGAAAGGAGTTACACATTTTAGGGAAATTAATATTTTCAGAACATCTTTAATTTTCCTACACTTGAAAGGGTTTCTCATGAATATAGCTCCAGAAAAGTGTCTTCATATGGTGGCTAGTCTTACTCAACATAGTGTAGAGAAAGTGACATGCCCATTAGTTCTAAAATTTCAGTAATTTCCTTTGATTCTGTGTGAATAAAACTTTAAAATTAATGAAGTGTCTTTTTTTTGGTAGAAGTTTTTTTTTTTTTTTCCCATTAAGTATAGGATGTTTTTTCAGTGCGGTATGAAAGTAATTTTGTATTGTACTTCTTATGTGAAATCTTTGTTCCCTAGGCAATGTTTTGTTTTCCAAAATATTTAGGAAAGTAGAAATCATATTTAAGCGTTCTATTTGTTTATAGGCTAATAGAAAAGATGAAAGCTTTATTTCAACCAATTTATATGAAAAATCTTAGTTATTAGAATTCATTCCATTTGTGAGAAGCCACAGTGCCTTGGCATGAGTAATTCAAATTTAAGGATTTGAGTGTTTAGTATATGTAGATTTTTACATAATTAAAAATTAAAATGTTCCACAATAAGTTGCCATATAACTTTTCATGAAGCAACATAAACATTTTGTAGAGCTACAACTCTCTTAAAATAAAGATGACTTTTTAATCTTTCAGTGGATGGAGGAATTTAAAAATGATATGCTCACTGAGAAGGATGCCCGATACCTAATGGTTAAAGAGGTGGTTAATCATTTGATTGAATGCAATAAAGATATCCCAGGGATCTCTGAGATCAATTGGATTATTCATATGGTTGATTCTCCAGATGTAAATGCCTTCGTGCTTCCAGTAAGTGAAAGTTCTCACACCTAATGTTTAATTGTTCAATTTAATGTCCTTGTTTTTTTTAAGGTGTTCCACTTGCTTACATTATTTTCTTTATGGTGCAGAATGGACAAGTGTTTATCTTCACTGGGCTTTTAAATAGTGTGACTGATATCCATCAACTTTCCTTCCTTCTGGGCCATGAAATAGCACACGCAGTACTTGGGCATGCTGTAAGTACCTAGAATGAATGTTTAGTTCTTGCAATACTGCTTTGAAGTTAGCAAGTTAAATCTTTTAAAACCGAATCTTTTCAGTTTTCTTTTTCTTTAAAAGATGGAATTTTAAATTTAATAATTGACTTATTCTGTTACTTGAAAAAATATGATTGGCTAATTGTGAGAATTTTTATGGTCCTTAGTATTTGATACCTGCATAATTAGTATTTCTCTTAAATACTGTTATCACCTGTCTCTTTTGTTTAAAAAGTAATTATTCTCAACCTCTAATTATTTCAAATTAGATTTTAAACTTTCCATAATTATTAACATATTTGTAACCTGTTCAGAAAATTACCTATATGAAAGTGATATTACTATTTAAGTAGGTAAATCAGTTTTCTTGCTTTTTTATTCATTCCCAGAGGATGGCTTGGAGCATCTCTGAAAATCTCTGGAATGATATGCCATATATAATTAATGCAGAGTAATAATAATGATAGCTTGCCATTTTACAGTTTGCTAAGCTTTTAAATACATACCTTCTCAATTATAATTTTAATACCATCCTCATTAAGTATGTATTTAATATCCCTAGATTCTATATGAGGAAACTCATGTTTAAAAAGACTCTAAGTAACATGAGTAATGTGGCCAACTGGCAAATTGGGACTTTAACAAAGTTCTTGTGTTTGCAAATCCAACACTGCTTCTTTTTACCACAGTTACCTGATTATTGGCAGCACTTTTTTATAATGGATCATACAATTCAGGTTGATTTATATTCCTGTGAACACACATCTGTTTGACTTGGTATGAATCCAAAAAACTAATGTATTTGTTTACTCATATATTTATTTTTATTCATTAAAAATAAGCATGTCTCTTGTCCACATTAATTAGGAAGATGTATATTTCCTAATTGAAAACATGAAGGTAAATAGTGAAAGGATCGTGAAATGCTATGTTGGAAATGCAAGTAATACTAATATTAAATGGAAATGATAATGTTATTAATCTCTCTAAAAGTCATCTCAAATTCTGTCTATTCCTTAAAGTATTAATAAATTGAGGTGGGCCACAGTTGTGCTTTTCTGAAGCACAAATAGTAATTATCTCCTTCATTTCTTCTGAGTTACAGAAAAATATAAAAAACATTTTCCTTGAACAGATATATACAAAAATAAATCTAAGCAATCGAAATAGATTGCCTTTCAAGAAAGGGCTTCATAACTGCAAAATCAATTTTGGTCATTTTTAGCATTTAAGAGATGTTCATATTCTGTGCCTTTACTTTTCTGGCCTTTAGATCAGTGCCTCATTCAGCATATTGTCATCTCTGTCAGCACAGGAATGCTAATTAGATAAGATATAAAAAGAAAATAGTCTTAAAAATTGAAAATAGTTATTAATATTTTTTTGTAGAGGTCTTACACATTATCAGTACTGTATTTTCTCTTTTAGCAGTCTCCATTTTGATTTGATGTAGCCTTTAATGTTTTCTTTGTTCCACAAATACATATTTTAAAAAATTTTTTAGTTTTCTAAAACTCTGTAATAGCAATTTTATTCTTTAATAAATAATAACAAGGATTTTCTCTTCAGTAATGACTTTATCATTTGTAATCATACTCTTTTGTGCTAAAATAATTCCATAATTGTTTTTCATGACACACAGTTCATATAATAAAGCAAAGAATGCTTTGTGAGTGCAGATTATATTGTTAAGAGAAGTGTTCTGTGTGATTATTTTTAGTTGTCAGCCGTGTTTCATACGTTCAAGTAATGATTCCTATACTGTCAGTGTCAGCATTACATTAACATTTATTAATCAGCTTTAGTAGGGAACAATGAACAATCCGGTGTGTTAAACTTGTATTTAGAAATTACTACTCAAAACAACTACTTTAAGTAAAATTGGTTACTGCTACAAATAAATATAAAAACTTCATAGAAGTTGACTTCCTAGTGAGAAATACCAGAGTGATAAAATTGCAAACTGGCATAAATGAATCATACTTTATATGTTAGGTCATAAAGTCCAAAAGACTTTTATTTCAAATAAATTTCTCATCTTTTTCTGAATTTTCCGTGTTTTAACTCTTTCATATGTTAGGTAGTATTTAGTCTGTCCAAAGGTATAAGCATAATAAGCACATTTGTTTACTTTAAAAATTAACGACTACATTAGAAACTAAAACTTCCTGGGTTTGATTCCTTGTCCTTTTACTAATAGCTTTGTGAAATTTGGCAACTCTTAGCTTCTCCTCATCTTAGTTTCATTATAAAATAGGGATAATTGTACCTATTTCACAAGATTATTATGCTTGGTAATATAAACATACATTCTTACATATTCATGTAAGAATATACATTCATATCTATGAACCTGTCATTGTGTCTAAATGATGTTAGGTGGCTCAGTAAATGAATGAGTGAATGTATATACACGTAAGAAAGTATGTGAGCAAGGGATTGAATTAAAGCACACAGAAGAAAAAGAATATGATTTTAGTTGGTGAAGGTCAGTTAAACATGTAAATTATTTAATGTGATTACACATGATGAACTAGAAAATGTAGGTGTATACTGTCTTTTAATTTTTTTGGTATATACTCTTAATTTATTAAATGTAATTTTCATTATTTTGATTATTCTCAGGCAGAAAAGGCTAGCTTGGTTCATTTATTGGATTTCCTAGGTCTGATTTTTCTCATAATGATTTGGGCCATTTGCCCTCGAGATAGTTTGGCACTTTTGGGCCACTGGATACAGTCTAAACTGCAGGAGGTAAGTGTGAGACAGTAAGTTGAATTTGTAATGGCCTGTGATGAGGATATTTTAAATATTACTGTAAAGTAATAGATACCAGGGATGTTTTCACATACCATGAAATACAGCTACTAAATTTTAGTGTCTTATGTTTTCTCATTTCTAGGGGATATTCTTTTTTTTTTTTTTTGTAAAGATTTATTTATTCTAGAGAGAGAGCACACGCACACATGCACATGCACGCAGGCATCAGCAGGGTGAGGGGGCAGAAGGAGAGGGAGAGAGAAAAGCAGATTCCCCACTGAGTGTGGAGCCATCAGGGTTCGACCTTACTACCCATGAGACCATGACCTGAGCCGAGACCAAGAGTCAGCGGCTTAACCAATTGAACCACCCAGGCATCCCTTTAGGGGATATTCTTAATAACGAGCATTCAAATTAGAAAATATTACATCTTTTAAATGATGGGGGTTAGATGTGTTACCAGGGCTTGGCAACTTCTGGCTAACATAATATTGTGGGGGGCGGGGAACATACTTATTGGTCTTAAGGAGAGAAGACATGGTCACAAATCCTTTCTTTCCTTCTATCACTTTATCTTCAGACTTTTCAGTTTTGTCTCTCATAGTAACTGGTGTACTTATTATGACTCTCCCTTTCCTCAAATATTTGCATTCTGATGGGGAACTCTTAAAACCTGTAAACTTCTGTGGGCACCGTGTTGCTGAAGCTGCTTCACCACCCTCATCTCCTTACTCCCAGTTAAACTAAAATTACCTGGAAAATACTGAAAGGATAATCTTATTGGGTGTTTGTTAACTTTCATTTTAGTACTTATGTATAATGATAATCGTTGTAGAATTTACTGAGGTCCTCATTTTGTTCAAAACATTGCACTACTGAAAGTAGTTCTTGCAATCTTGATAATTGCTTTGTTAACTATGATTAATTATTTTATTTTACATCTTTCTTTACATAATTCCTCTTGTCCTGGGAGGTGTGGTGATTCAGGAACAATCTGTTATTTGTTTATTTAATGATTTGTGGAGCACCCATCATTGTGCCATCTGGGTGCTGTTTAAATGTAATGTAAAATTCTTTGAGACAAATTGCTTTTGAAATTGGATAACTAAGTCTTTTATTCAGTGTTACCATATCGTCTGGCTGCATTTATATTGAAATAAAGGTTCTTAAAAGGAAAAAAAAGAGAATGGTTATTACTTAGGTTACAGGATTTCATATTTTGAATTTTATTTCTGTTACTGATATTCTGGGAAGTCAAAGGAGTTAATTTAGTTTTTTCCCCATTTATCAGTACATAGCTTTTTTCTGTAATGTAATCTGAAGATTTTGTCATAAGAAAGATAACTTGTGGCTGTTTCTCCCTTGAAATACTTGATGACTCCTGCTACTTCATATAATTCTTTAATAATTAAACTAAAAATAAAGTAGGGATTACTTCTCTTTGAACCCTTTTTCCCTAAATCAAGGCTCCCCCAGTAATTTTGGTGATGAGGAAGTGTTTCTCTAGAAAGCCTTGCTCCTTATGATTGGAGAGCAGGAGAGGATATTAATAGTGAAGTCATAAAGGAGTGGGAATTGCTGACATTCATTTGCCAGAGAAAAGAAGAAACAAGGGCCTTTACATAACTATCGGGGAATCCTATTTTTGTAATCTTAAAAGATTGGGGTATAATGTAGCAGCCCTCATAGAGTGCTACCAGGTACGGTTTTTGAAAGCTATTCGTAATAATTATAGTAGCTAAGATTTATTGAGTACTTACCATATGTTAGGCGCTAGGATGAACACTGTAGATTAATTATGTACAGGGGTTAAGAATACAGCTGTGAACAGATGGACCTATATTTGAATTTAGGCTCTGTTAGATCTAAATTCTATAGAACTTGGGCAGATTACTTCACCAATTATAGGTCTGTTTCTTCATCTGTAAATTGGCATAATACTGGCTAACTCAAAGAACTATTACGGGTTTAATGATGCATTTTAAAGTAGGATCCCTCGATCTAAGCACTATTGACATTTTGCACTAGATAATTCTTTGTTGTGGGAAATTGTCACATGCATTGCAGGATGTTTAGCCTCTAAACATCTGACCTCTACCCACTAGATGCCAGTAGCACTTTCACCCCCCTCTTCCCTCCCCCACAGTGGTGACAATCAAAAATGTCTCCAGGGGTGCCTGGGTGGCTCAGTCGGTTAAGTGTGCGACTCTTGATCCCTATCGGTTCAGGTCATGATCTCACCACAGGTCATGATCTCAGGGTCGTGAGATGGAGCCCCACATCAGGCTCTGTGCTGGGTGTGGAGCCTGCTTAAGATTCTCTCCCTCTGCCCCTATACCACCTGCGTGCACTCTCTCAAAAAAAAAAAAAAAAGTCTCCAAACATTTCCAAATGTCCCTGGGGGACAAAATCATATCCAGTTGAGAACCAGTGATTATAAAGCATTTAGCACAGTACCTAATACAAAGTAAGGACTCATTAAATAGGAGCTATTATTATTTGCTCATTTTATCCTGTCTATAACCCTAGGAGGTTGGTGCTGTTGCTACTCCATCTTACATATGACGCTACTGGGCTTAGAGGGGTTAAACAATTAGCCAAGGGTTCACAGTTAATAAGTGTCAGCATTTGGACTTGAGTGTAAATTTCTGTCCTTTTAAAGCCAATGTTTTCAACCAGTTATGCTATCAGGAGACTTGAGGGACCCTGGCAGATGGCTCATTGAGAGTGAAGACACGATATAGTATGTTTAGCAACCTAGAAAAGACATGATCGAGAAGGAAGAAAGTCATATCTAGTAGTCATGTGCTGTGGATCAGATTGATTATATTATTTCTAGACATCACTGACATGTAGCTACCTCTGAAAAAGTGTTTCCTCTATTAATAACTCTGTTCTCAAAAGTCCTGTCTATTGATCCACCTCCTATAAATTTTAGTACTTACTGAAAATTAGAATTTAACTGGAAAGCATTCACATAAATACAAGTAATTAGAAAAGTTAAAATTACGATATCTATTTGTATTTTTTTATTGAAGTTGGAAGAAAATTTCATTTCCCTAACTAATCAATACTTAGAAAAGAAAGATGGAATTAAGATAATTTATCAAAGAAAGAAAATTCTCTATGGTCAATTTTCTAACTGAAATAAATTCTCTAGTAGTGTCAGTGGTTATTATCTAGCTATATTTTTTCAATTGCCTTTTAAAACTGCAAGATCAAAATGTTCCTTGGCCATATTAAAAACTTGCTTTAACGAGCTTTCTTAGGGGATCCTCTACACAGTAGGTAGAGATTGTAATTGGGAAAATAGAAGTGCAGGTATCCCCTGCTTTCTGAAAGTTTGTGTTATGTCACTTGGTTTTTAGGCTTTTTTCATAAAAGCAAACATACTCTTTGGATTTCTTTTGGTACCTGAAAACAGGTACTAATGTACTAAGGTACTGAGTCTTTTGTAAAAGCAAAGTAGTGTGAGGCAAACTTTTGGAAAGTGAGGGATACTTGAAGAGTAGTACTTCTCCCCCATTATCCATGGGGTGGGGGGAGGGTGGGATATATTCAAGACCCCTAGTGGATAGGCCTAAAGCCTCAGATAGTATCAAATCCTATATATACCATGCCTTTTCCTATACATACATATCTGTGATGAAGTTTGTAAGTTAAGTACAATAAGAGATTAACAATAATAACTAATAAAATAGAACAATTATAACAACATACTGTAAAAAAAGTTATGTGAGTGTGGCCTCTCTCAAAGTCTTATTGTATGTACTCACTTTCTTGTGATGATGTGAGACGCTAAAATACCTATGTGATGGGATGAAGTAAGGTAAATGACATAGGCGTTGTGGTGTAGCATTAGGGTACTATAGACCTGACCATGTGTTAGAAGGACCATCTGCTTCCAGACCCCTGCTGACTGCGGGTAACTCAAACCATGGAAAGTGAAACCATGGATAAGGGGGATTGCTGTACTCCATGTGATACTACAGACTGTCCAGAAGTCTGTAGGCATAATATTTTTAATATTCTTTTCATGTTTTTAAAATATTAATCTGTGATGGAGGAAATAAAGGCTGCACTTTGTGTTTTACATCATGGTGTTCTTTAAATGTTAATCATGGAGAGCATAAAAACTTTATCCTAGATGCTCCATGAAATTAATTTTAAAAATCACACTTTGTTACTCCTTTTACTGTGAAATAAATATCCTTAATGGAACTTCTCTTTCTTATTTCTTCTTAGTATATGTTTGATAGACCATACAGTAGAACATTGGAGGCTGAAGCTGACAAAATTGGACTACAGCTTGCTGCAAAGGTAAAATGCTTGGTAGTTGAGAAAACACAGTGCCCTTCACACAGTAAAAGATAAATGTACATTGTCTTAATGAGCTGTGGCATGAGCAGAGAATGAGAGTTGGACTGTATGAAATTTTTCATTAATACCTTTTTAAATTTGTGTACTCTAGAAGCTGATATACTATCTTTATTTTACTCCTCTTTTTGCTGATCTAAGGGGGCTTTTTTTAGTAAAATAATGTATAATTGTTTTTCCCCACTCAGAGAAAGGTTTGTTCTATTGTAGATCATACAAATTTCTATTGTATGATCCTAGATGAACCACCTGAATTTTTATAATTTAAATAAACAGAAGAACAGGCTTATTACTTTGTATCTTTGAGGTTATTTTTGTTGCAGCAAATGACTGACCTTGGCTAGCCACAGAGAGCAGCTCTGAGCCTTTACTATGATTTAAGTTGGCTTTTGCTCATGTCTCCTTTACAGGGCACTGCATGCCTGCCTGCTGTTTTTATCATGTGTGATAACTGAGCATTATTAGTAGAATTTAATATTAGAAGTAAAACTGCATTTTTAAAAATGAGTAAAAAACAATGCCACTTTGTACATTGAATTCAAATTGTACTTGATTCTTTGTTGAGTTTCCAGTAGTTATTAAAAGTCCTAGCTATTAGAAATCACTATTATTTGAAGTTCTTATTATGAGTTTTATAGATTTAATTTCATAAATGAAGATATTACTCATTCACAAAAGCAAAAGTAGTTATGTGAATGTTGTATAATGAGAATTGAGTGAATTATCTGACTGTAGATTGAGGTTCCCAAATAGTGGGCCACAGATTGGCACAGTTTCCTAATTTCAGTGTACTACAGTCTATGAAATTACGCTTTTAATATAAGTGTGTTTTGTGTTCTGGTTAAGAAATCTTTGCCTATTTCAATAAATTGTTACTGTTTTATTTTAAAGAAGCTTATGATTTTATTACCTTATAAAAATATACTACACGGAAGAGGTTAAGATAATTTCTTTCCCATGTGGATATCTAATAGCCTCAGCCCTGTTTATTGAAGAGTTATCTTTTCTCCCCTATACTTCAGTGTCTTTTTGTCATAAATGTGGGAGCCTATAGAGAAGTCTATTTCTGGACTCTCTATTGTATTCTGTTGGCCTGTTATCTGTCTTTGAGCCAATGCCACATTGTCAGTATAGCTTTGTAGTAAGCCATGATATCTGATATCTTCTGTCCTCCAGTGTGGTTCTGCAAGATTGACTTGGCTATTCTTAGTCCCTTTCCTTTCCATATAAATGTCAGAATCAGCTTATCAAATTACACACCTGTACAAAAACATGCTTGAGATTTTGATTGAAATTGTGTGAATTGGGGACAGTTGACTACTGTCAATAATATTGAGTCTTCCAGCCCATGAGTGATTTATTTGTCCATTTATTTAGATATTCTTATAATTTCAGTATTATTTTCAAGTGTGTGTGTGTGTATGTATGTATGTGTGTATAGGACTTACACATCTTTTGTTAAATGTACTGCTAAGTGTTTGACTTTTTTGATGTTATCGTGAAGTGTCATTCAAATGATCATATATAGAAGTGCAGTTTGTTTTTTATAAATGAACTTGTATCCAACAACCTTGCTAAAGTCACTTAATTCTAATAGTGTATAGATGGTTTTAGATTTTATTTATACACATTTGTGTTGCCTGTGAATGACAGCTTTAGTTCTTCCTTTCCAATCTATATACTTTCTTTTTTTTACGTTATTGCAATGGGCAGAACCTTCAGTACAATGTTGAGGGTGAGCGGAGAGCACTTTTGTTTCTTCATGACCTTAGGGGGAGAGTGTTCAGTATTTCACCATTCTGGTGTCTAAGGTTTTTTTTTTTTTTTTTTTTTTATCTGATTTTTTAGAAGAGTTGCTCTTCTATTTCTAATATGCCAAGAGATTTCTTTAAAATTATGAGTAACTTAAATTTTATCAAATTCATTTTTTTGTCTTGATGACTATAATTTTTCTCCTTTAATCTGCTAATGTGGCAAACTACATTGATTTTTATTTTACACATTCGGACAACTTGTTATTTTTGAAATAAGCCCAATTTTATCAATTACATTATCCTTTCAATATATTACTGAAGTTGGTTTGCTAACGTTTAGCTTAGCTTCATAAGAGATACCGGCTTGGACTTTTCTTTTCTTGTAATATCCTGTCATGTTTTGGTATTAAGATTATGCTGGCCCCATAAAATGAGTTGGGAAGTGTTTTGTTTTTTTGTTTTTTTTTCTTTTCTCTGGAAGAGTTTGTGTAATATTAGTGATACTTATTTTTTAAATGTTTGGAGATTTCATGGGTAAAGCCATATGGGCCTACAGATTTTTTTGTGGGATGGTCTTTCGTTATGGATTCAGTCTTTTTAACAGATATAGAACTATTCACATTTTTCTGTTTTTTGGTCAGGTTTTTTTTTTTTAATAGAGAGAAAGAGACTGAATGAATGAGGGGAGAGGCAGAGGGAGTGAGGGAAAGAAGCAAGGTCCATGCTGAGCGCAGAGCCTGATGTGGGGCTGGATCTCCTGACCCTGAGATCATGACCTGACCTGAAATCGAGAGTTGGAGGCTTAACCAACTGAGCCACTCAGGCGCCCCAGTTTTGTGTCAGTTTTTATAAGTTAGAACATCTAGAAACGTATGTTTTGTTTAAATTCTCAACATTACTGGTATAAAGTTTTTAAATTTACATATAAATCTATATTTGCATTTTGTGTTTTTTTACTGAAGTATAGTTGACACACAATATTACATTAGTTCCATGTGTACAAAACAGGGATTTGACAACTCCATATGTTACGCTCACCGTAAGTGTGGCTGCCGTCTGTCACCATGCAGTGCTGTGACACTGACTGTGTTCCATATGCTGTACCTTTCATCCTGTGGCTTATTCATTCTATAACTGGAAGCCTGTATTTCCTGCTCCTTCACCTATTTTGCTGCCCCTTTATGCCCATCTCCTCTGGCAACCATCAGTTTGTTACCTTTACTATATTTTTAATGTCTGAAAGATACTGCATTCTACAGCTGTATTTTGTTTATTTATTTATTGAAAAGTTAATACAGTTTTATTTAAGGAGTTTCACATGTTGTGATTCCTTCTACTGCCAATCACCTTAGTTCTTCTAAAGTTTAAGTCATAATCTTCAAGGTAGCCCTTTTTTTAAAAAGTTGTGTCTTGACTTCAGCTCAGGTCATGATCTCAGGGTTGTGGGATCAAGCCCCATGCAGGGCTCAGTGGGGAGTCTGCTTGAGATTCTCACTCCCTCTCCCTCTGCCCTCCCCCCCCCCCACCTTTTCCCCCCTGCTCACGCACTCTCTCTCAAAATAATTAAATGAATCTTTAAAAAGAAGTTTTGCTCAGTCCACAGTTCTTTAGTTTGGCTTCTTTGATTCCACTTGAATATGGACATGCTTCAGAAATTCACCAGCTATATTTGAGATCCAGTTTCTTTAAGCAGTTTACTTTAGGGCCATGTTTAGGGTCTGAGTAGATGGATCTGCCTAGTTCTCAATTTCACATACCCTCTAAACATGAATAAGTTCAAACTGTATTCACTCCTAGACTGTCACACCCTGGAATAGTACAGATTATTGGGATATGCCAATACCTAAGATTAAAATAATTTGACTATTGGTTCTTTCATGGTTTTAGCAGATCTGTCTTGTGGTTCTTTCCCACAGATAACACACATTTCAGCATGTGTATTTTCTGTCACTGTCTTGTAGCTCACTAATCTTACTTTCAGCTGTGTCCATTCTGCCATTAAACTCATCTTTGACTTAAATTTTAGTTATTGTATTTTTCCATTCTAGAATTTCCATTTGATTCTCTTATTAAATTTCAGTTCTCTGGTGAAATTCTCTGTTTTGTTATAATTTTATTCATATGTTCTTGATTATGTTAATCATAATTGTTTTTTAAACATTTATGTTTTTTAACTCTAATTTCATTATCTCTGGGTCTGTTTCTACTGTCTGTTTTTTACCTTTGGTCTTGTTTCTTGGTATGCTCGCTCATATTTGATTGAATTCTGGACATTTCATATAAACAGTACTATTGGCTCTGAATGATAGTTTCTTCCATTATAGGGGATTCTCCCTTTAGTCTGGAGGACAACTAGATAGAGCAGATTATTTCAGTCAGTCAGAGCCTGAGCTGGGTCTTCATAAGTTCCAATTTACCTCTACTTCACCTTCATTCATAGGAGTATTGCTGTTCAGGGAAGTGTGCTGAAGGTGTGGAGTATTTACTAAGTTCCTTCTCTGTAGTGGTTTTTGAACTGCGGTTTTTGACCTGCCAGCACCATGAGACTGTTGAAATCTCTCTTCAGTTTTCATCCACTTTTTGTTTAAAAAAGTGCCCTGTGCAGCTTAAGAATCGATAAGATGCCTTGGTCAACTGGCATCCGGTGGTGTTTTTGCCCTCCTAGCTTTTAAATCTTAGCTTCTCAAATTTGGCTGCCTTATCAAGCCTGACTTGTAAGTTTCGGCTCTCTAGTCCTGCTAAACAGCTGAAAACTCTTCTTAGTCACCTCTTTCTGCTTGGATTTCTTTTGAGTTCTGCTTGTATTCTCAGCCTCTGGCTCTTCAGTGCTTAGAATTTAACAGATTTCACTGAAAGCAAGAGCAACACACAGATCAGACTCACCTCCTTGAGCTTTCCTTCTTCCTAGAATTTTGGCTTTTCTAGTCTTGGCTGACTCGGTAACTCTCCAGTACCTTTGAACAAAATTATTTATATTTTATCCAGATTTTCTAATTTTTTTTATTGAAGTATAATTGGCATACAATATCCTTTTAGTTTCAGGTATACATCATATTGACTCAATATTTTTATACGTTACAAAATAATCCCCATGATAAGTGTGTTTACCATCTGTCATGAAAGTTATTACAATATTATTGGCTATATTCCCTCTGCTGTACATTATATCCCCATGACTTATTTATTGTA